CCTACTAAGGAGCTTAGCTCCTTACTTACTAAGGAGCTTAGCTCCTTAGAGAGCACCAGGCTCTCTACTTATTACCTTAGACAGCGGCATATTTGATGAACACACCCAGCAACCATCTGCAATTATCGACTTTGCAGAAGTCAAGGTCACTCCAAACGACCTGACCCGTGGTCAACCTGTGGTCGTTAAATTCTAAAGGTGTTACTTCTTAATTATTGAGGCCAGACTGCCTGGCGCCTTCAATATCACATGTGACTGACTCGTTGTACGTAAAATAATAAACTAAAACACACTTATGGCATTACACCCAGCTGGGTGAGTAAACAGCTCTGGAACCCCACTACAGGTAACTTACAAGCTATATCGGATATCAGGCAGCGAGAACACTCACCCCACGCACTTCCGCCCCCCCCCTGTGTACTTCACAGCACCTGTGTACTTCACAGCACCTGTGTACTTCACAGCACCTGTGTACTTCACAGCACCTGTGTACTTCACAGCACCTGTGTACTTCACAGCACCTGTGTACTTCACAGCACCTGTGTACTTCACAGCACCTGTGTACCAGCACATGTGAGTAGGACGCCGTGTTGATACTGGCACCCGCACTGCTGCCCCGACACTCTTGCATAAAGAAACTAAAGTTACGTCAGACTTCATTTAGGACAAAATTTAAATATTAAGGCAAAAAGCTGGTGTTTAGGAGCGACTTGTTTTTAAGGGATAAAAAGTACCTTTTGGTGACTTAACCAACAGTGATCATAGTGGGCCAGCGATAGGCTTTAGGCCCATGCAGGAATACCCCTGCAAAAAAAAAATAATTGGTTATCAGCATCAGCATTCAAATTCCAGTCAGTATATTTACACCTTTTATCTTATAATACTAAATGGATACAACCTTGAGGTGCTTCCGGGGCTTAGCGTCCCCGCGGCCCGGTCGTCGACCAGGCCTCCTGGTCCTTCAAAAACATACTCGCTATACCTTCCTGAGTATCTTGTTTACAGCAGGACGCTGAAGCGGGGTTTGAAAGGTGCCGGTTTTCTCCTCTAAATATTGTGTTGTGACGAGTCATATCTCTGTGTGTGGTGTATGTAACAAGCTTTCTCTTTTTAGTGACGAGTGATACGTTACTGACCAAAATGATGACGCGGAGACCAAAGATATGTTACAACATAGCTCATCGTCATCATGAAACACAGCACGAAATATAGAACAACGGAACAATAAATCGAAATATTATTTTTTGTGTGGAAAGTACCCCTAGAGGCGGAGTAAGGTCCCCCCTAAGGGGCGGAGTGAGGTGGCCCCAGGGGCGGAGTGAGGTGGCCCCAGGGGTGGAGTGAGGTAGCCCCAGGGGCGGAGTGAGGTGGCCCCAGGGGCGGAGTGAGGTAGCCCCAGAGGTGGAGTAAGGTACCCCCAGGGGCGGAGTGAGGTACCCCCAGGGGCGGAGTGAGGTACCCCCAGGGGCGGAGTGAGGTGGCCCAAGGAGCGGAGTGAGGTAGCCCCAGAGGTGGAGTAAGGTACCCCCAGGGGCGGAGTGAGGTGGCCCAAGGAGCGGAGTGAGGTAGCCCCAGAAGTGGAGTAAGGTACCCCCAGGGGCGGAGTGAGGTAGCCCCAGGGGCGGAGTGAGGTAGCCCCAGGGGCGGAGTGAGGTGGTCAGGGACCTCAGAAGTGCCCGTCACGATGCGGGAGGAGGAAGGGCAGTGCGTCAACTGCGGTTACTACCTGAAGAACATCGTCAAGTTCCTCATCAGCCACATAGGCCTGGTCTCCCTGGTCATAGGCTACACCATCGTCGGAGCCTTCACCTTCGAGAGGTTCGAGGCTCCCCACGAGCTCGAGGTGAAGAAGAACATGTCGTCCGTCAGACTGAAGGTGAGACTCACTCTCCTACTGTTCTCATTCATGATTATTATTATTCATTTCAGGAGAGACAAATGTTCTTAAATGTTAGCCTTCTTTACTGTAATTAATATAAAATTTTATCTAAGGTTGTTTGTGTAATAGGACATGAGATGAGGTAATTATAACTGTGAGAGTTTTTATTATTCTTTACTAGTGATACTCAGTCAGAAGGACTGCATGAAGCCAACGTGTTAAGTGGTAGATGTGAGATTATACTTTAGAACTGAAAATAAAAGGCGAGAGCCAACGCCGGAGTCCAATCCCTTGGCTCTCTTATCCACTAGGTCGTTTAGCTCCTTACTTGCTTATGGCAATCTTAAGGGGTAACGGCGTGTCCTCACACCGAATTTGCATTCAGTGTTTGAGCAACTCGTCCTTGACTCTATTGAGAAAGAGAGAGAAGGCAAACATAGCTTGGTTATTGCATCTAGTTTTAAAAAGGGGTAAGAATAAGAAGAGTCATAAGTCCATTCCATCCAGCGGTCGACCCCACAGACGCATTCATAAATTTTAACATGCTGTTCATTCAAAACAGGAATTTTCTCAAATATATGTTAATATTATAATTGTGAGGGGATGGTTCACCAGCTCACTTACAATGGTGCTCTTATGCCTGTGGAGGCCAGTACACTTGCTAAGTGCACTTGTTAAGTGCATGGACCTAAGTTTGGTGAACAGTACCCGAAACATCTTGTGTTTGGGCTCATGTGAGAGCCCCAGTCACCAGCATTCCAGAAATGTTACCCTGGCCGGGGTAGCACGTCTGTGGACAGAGTTATAGAGCAATAGCATCATTTCATTGTAAGCTTGGAGGACTCAAGATTTGTGCGGGAATCTTGAGAGGCCTGGGACAGCGTGAGGAGAGCGTGGGTCTCCTGCTAGCTCCAGCCTTGTCATTATGGCAACGGCCGCCATCTTAGGAAACATCTGGGGAGTCGGCCATCTTGAGTTGCCCTAGGGCCATGCTACACCGTCGCAGATTGGTTGAGAGGGGTAGGCCGTTGTGTGCCTCCCTCTCATTGGTCCTTTCGAGGAGAAGCGGGATCGCCAGCGTGTTTCTTCCTCAAGGCATCATTCTGCTCCAGTCACCACCACAGCCAGACGTCTCTCTCTTGCGCATTCGGCCAAATTGGGCAAGACGACGTCATGGTGACTGTCTCCTCAGCTCCTCCACTGCCGCCTCCACCAAGACCGCCAGCTGCACAGACAGAATCCAGCTGGAGTCATCGTCGAGGAGTAGATAGATGGGAACGAGTGAGAGAAATCTGGGACGGGGGTAATTTGCATATGAGGAGCAACAGACTCGTGGGTCCCCATACCAGTGATTATACATGTTCCATTTCCTGCTAGTGCTCTGTAGCAGTCGATGGGAATGGGGAAATTCGTGTCAGTGTTTTAAGGCATATTTCCCATGTTTGTGTAAGACTCTATACGTTGTGCGCGTCACCGGGTACGAACGTTCCGCTTCACCGGTGGGTTGAGGGTGCGAACCGGGCCATGTGTTGTGAGGGAGGGTTCAAAAGATGCGTCAAGGCATCCTGTACGAAGGATACCACGTGAGGTACCAGCTCCGTCTAGCCTCCACCGCCGTGAGCCAGACACCCGCCAGGGGGTGCCTGATGTATGGTAATTGTGTGAGTGTGTGAGGCCAGCTGTATAAATGAGTAAGTACTTATGTGTGTATTTCTGGTGACTTTATTCTCTAAAGCTTGAATTCAAGGTCAGGTGTTCCGTCACATTGTCACTAAGAGCACCTGCAGAGGTGATAGTGAAGAGTGGGCGAGCGAGAGTATCACCCTTGTTGACATCTTGTCAGTCCAGTGGGACTTGGTCTGGTGTACACAGACATACAAGTGTGTGTGGGGTACACACGGGAACACGTTTACATTAGAATATTTATTATTCCATTCTGGTAGAATAGCGGTAATTCAATCATTGTTGTGGATTCCGTTCCATGTGTTAAATCTTACAGGTGTGGAATTCCAGTACTGAGCGCTCAGGTTAGTGTTAGTGTTTAACGTCAGGGATTCCTGGCAATTGATTATTGTAGAGTGATACCAGATTGATTATTTTCTTGTTGTGTTTCCAGGGTCGTGACAAGTGTGATATGTATATGTATATGTATATGTATATATATATATATATATATATATATATATATATATATATATATATATATATATATATATATATATATATATATATATATGTCGTACCTAGTAGCCAGAACCCACTTCTCAGCCTACTATGCAAGGCCCAATTTGCGTAATAAGTCAAGTTTTCATGAATTAATTGTTTTTCGACTACCTAACCTACCTAACCTAACCTAACTTTTTCGGCTACCTAACCTAACCTAACCTATAAAGATAGGTTAGGTTAGGTTAGGTAGGGTTGCTTAGGTTCGGTCATATATCTATGTTAATTTTAACTCCAATAAAAAAAAATTGACCTCATACATAATAAAATGGGTAGCTTTATTATTTCATAAGAAAAAAATTAGAGAAAATATATTAATTCATGAAAACTTGGCTTATTAGGCAAATCGGGCCTTGTATAGTAGGCTGAGAAGTGCGTTCTGGCTACTAGGTACGACATATATATATATATATATATATATATATATATATATATATATATATATATATATATATATATATATATATATATATATATATATATATATATATATTGTGACGGGAAAGTGTTGGAGTGTAGATGTTCGGCAGTCCTCCAATGGCAGGTGTCAATGCCTAGTCACACTTACAAAAAAAAAAAAAGATAGACTGCTTGCCTGTTTTCTGTCTGTCTGTGGTAAAGTAAGGGAAGACACGCAAAACACAAAATATGAACAATGAAACTTTAATTAATCTAAAAAACAAATATAAACAAAGACAAACCCTTGGCAATGTGCAGTGCAAAAGAACAAGTCAAAACCAATATAACATAAATGAATAATAGGGATGAAGTTACTCTACAATAATAATAAAGTTAAAGGTGAAAAATAATTAGATGCTGAGAATATGGCGCTAGCTGCGAGACATCCAGCTGTTACACAGCGTATATTAGTTAGTTGTTCACGGCTTTAGAGCACAAGGATATTCTGACTTCATGTAACAAACTAGGCTGTTGTAAGAATTATCCAGAGTGGTTTATCGACAAAAGAGAATGGGAAGCTGAGCCGCATGGTGACCTGACCCCCAGGGGAATTCGCGGTGGAAATAACCGACGCTTTGTTCATAGCTGCGTATAATGAATCATCCTATAGTATTCAGTAATTTAGAGAAAATTAGCCTTTATTCATTTTGCATTAAAATTGTATTGTATAATAGTACTGGATACAATATCAAGAGTATTCTAATTATTGAGTTTAAGTCACCATCAGTGACGTCACGAATCAGATCTAACTTTTAAGGCGGAGTGACCGGCGGTCATAGGTCAGCAGGGTTGACAGGTCTACTATTTCTCAAAGTTTTAATAACCATTTTTGTGATCGGGAACAGCTCTGCCGTTAGATGTTGTGTAATTTAATTTCAGTAAAATAATTCAACCAGTCTGGATCAATTAAGTACAACAGAGTTTAATTGTTATAACTTAAACCTTGCTAGTAACTGGGTAAACTTTGACTAGGCGGAAGGATACAATGTTCTGTCTGGGGTAGACCAGACAAGGGAAAGATCAGTGTGGTCACGGAAGCAGCTGGGAGAGGTCAAACATCTTACCTCTCCCCGAGACCAGCCAACATCTAGAGCTGGTCGCCCAAGGTATAGTTGCTATTGTTAAGTATAGAAATAGTCTCATTTGCCACTCAGGTCAAGTAGGGAGTGTTAAAGTGATAGGGAGTGAACATATTTAGATTTTGTTTTAGTTTTCTTTTAATAAATTAAATTTGTTAATAATTTGCATTTTATTGTTTCCATGTGTTTTATGTGTATACTTGTCCTGGTCACGTGGTCCACACGAGGCAGAGTTGTATTGGGCGCCGATTCTAACATCGAATCGGAATTATCATTACCGTGTAATTTATTCCACACTCAAGGTCATCGTATATAGTGGGGATCAAGCCCCAAGGTTGATTAATTAGCGTGATCGATCCAGACCTCGATCATTGCTCTTCGTTTTACTGGTCTGGTGGTGGCAGCAGAGGTGACTCTAGGGTTTTGTTCAGAGCTTAGGTCACGTCATACTGGGTGTAGAATCCTAAGTCGGTCAATCGTCTTAGGACCACGTGGCGTGGAGTTGGCTTTGGTAAAAGTTTTGGAGTCCCTTGGTAGAGAATAAAAAGTAAGAATACGGGTAGAGAGGGTAAAGAAGAAAGAAGGAAGTAGAGAGAGGAACCAAAACCCGTGTTACAATGGTGCACAGCGGTGGTTTCAACAATTTTGTTTGAAATTGTTGAAAGGCTCACGCGTCTAGCCGTTCGAACACGTGCGCGGATGCTAAGGAGACAGCCGCGGGCCAGGATTAGCAGTGCGCCCCACACAGTGCGTTTGAGTGGGGATTGGCGAATCTTGGGTCATGCGGGCTGATATGATTAAGGTTTAGTTAGTAAGATTAGGCTGTTAAAATAGATTTATTGAAAAGGAGACCGCTCCGAGTTGATTGGACTGGGTACCATACTCGACCCATTGCAATTAATTCAGAGGTGTTGGGAGCCGCCATACTCTCAACAGCAGTTCCTTGAGGGCTGTCGGGGGCGGATATATCTGTGGGACGCCAGTAGATAGTCCGAGGGCGTTATTAGACGACCCAAAACGCTAGGAAAAACGTAATCCGTGAAGGGCGTTGCGGCCTCCGAGGGACGGACTAGTAACCTACCTAGCAGCGATTCAACAACTAAGTGATCGCACACTTAGTGGAGGTTGAGTCGTCCCTAGTCATAATTGTTGCTGAAAGCTGCGTGTCGCTCTGTTGGAACCTAGAGGGTGTGGCCCCTAGGCTAGGTGTGGTACGGCGAGCCGGTAGGAACAATT